GTGTGATGAACATCTTTCTTTCTCCTCCTCTAACTGGACGCTGGCTCTTCAGCCTTCATGGCCTCCCGAGAGCCGATGACCATCTCGCAAATCCAGCATCTCTCAGTCGTTTCCAGTTTAAAACTCCTTGTTGGAAAGGTGAATGCTCAATCCAGTGCCCCTTCATCTTTCTCCTCCCTGTCTCCCTAGGACATCCTTGTACTAAAAAATTATTTATTTATTTATTTTAGATACTCTTTTTAAAAAAGATATTAGATATTCTTTTTAGATTAAAAATTTTTGTGTGTTTTTATTTTTTGGGAGGGGAGTAGTTAGGTTTTTATTTATTTATTTTAATGGAGGTGATGGGGATTGAACCCAGGACCTTGTGCATGCTAAGCACGCACTCTACCCCTGAGCTATACCTACCCCTACCCCAAATTATTTGTTTAACTGAACTTCAAACTCAACTGGGCATCCTGTGTTTTATCTGGCAACCCTACACAGGGTAACCCCAAACTTACGTGGCTGACCCCTTGTAGGGCCGAGACAGCAGGCAGGGCGGTCCAGTGCCCTACTGCCCATTCCAGAGCCTGTCTGCCCAGATTCAAATGTCATCTCTCTAACCTTGAGTGACTTGGAGCGAGTTCCCTGGAGGCTTTCTTTGTGCCTGTTTCCTCTTCAGTAAAATAAAAGATGAAACAGTGTACCTTACAGGGTTTTTTGATGATTAAATAAAAGAGATATATGTAATGCACTTAGAACCATGCCTGAGATGGAGCAAACAGCGTGTGCTAGTTCTCTTAGGTGGGAGAGACTCGGGAAGCAGGTGGGCACCCAGAACATCGACCCCATTCTCTTCTTCCAAGTGCCTTTCACGAGGAAGGCTTCGGCACATGAATGTGACTTCACAGGGTCTTCAAAGAACACTGAGCCAAACCGGATTCGGGGGATGTTAAACTTCCTCCCACGCGGTTGGGATAACTCCAGGGTTCGTCCCCCCATAGCACCGCGCTCGCCCGCCGAGCACTGCCCCACGACTCTGATCTACCGAGTGCCTGGAACTTCACTCCCCCCTGGGCGGCGTTTTCATAGAGAAGAAGTGCAAAGAACATAGGGCAACCCTTTGCCTCAGGGACGATATGGGAGGACACCAAAAGGAGCAGTACCTTTGACGTAATGCACAGAAAAAAAAAATCAACGGATGCATGTAACAGCAAGGGGTGCACTGAACGCTCGGTAATTAGGCGGGGCGGGTGGGCAGGAGGAGGGCTTGCATCCCAGAGCGGGTGGGCTGTGCGTGTGGCCTTGAAGGGGACAAAAGTCTACTTTGAGAGGAGCCTTGATTCCGCAGGGTGGTCCCCTCATGTGTTTGCGGTCCATGAAGAGTCTGTGGAGCATGGGGGTGGAGTTGGGGGACAAGAGGACATAAGGCAACCTTGAGCACCCTGGGCACGATGTGGTTTCCCTTTTCTGGTCATTCCTTCCGCCTTGGCAGCCCTTCTGCCCTTAAATCTAGACCAGCGCCGACCGGGGGAAGTCCTCATGTGAGCCAGCACATATGCAGTCTCCAATTTTCTAGCCACCACAGCAAAAGGGGGAAAGAAACAGGTGAAATGAATTCTAATAATGTTTTTCTCCCATATTTCTAAAATATTATTTCAACATGTAATCCATAAAAACTATTAATGAGATATTTTTCAATTTTGGGGGCAGATGTTGAATCCTGAATGTGGCCGTGTGTATTTTATGTTTATAGCACACCTCGATTCAGATGTGAACTCAACCAGTACAAGTGGCCGGTGGCACCGCACTGGACGGCCGAGGTCCAGGTCACCAGACTGCAGCTGATGGCTCCAGGGAAGGGCAGGCATGAAATTACCCAGAGAGCCGCATTTTTGACTTTTGAGACTTGGGTGAGTCCATAGCAGAATCAATAGTTCAGACAGTCACGGCTGAAACTGAGCCAGAGAACTGTCTGAGGCACGTACAGATCTCAGGGAAAGTACTGAGGGACGTGGGGGCGGTCCCCTCCCAACACCCCGACACCTTCTGTTGAAGAAGAAATGGAAGTTTGACCTGTACGGGGCAGGAATTGAGGAGAAGAGAACTTGAGAGGTGCCACCACACCTGCCCCCATTCAGGGCCACAGCCCGAGGGAGGGACAGATGCCCTGATAAGTCCTGGCCTCCCCAGGCTCCAGCATCCTAGGGTCTTGGGAGTGGCTGAGTGAGGGGCACAGGCAAGCAGGGCTGAGGGCAGCTTCAAGGGTCTATGTCCTGGCAGGTCCTCAGAAAGGGTGCAGAAAGGGCCAGCACCCATGGGACAAGGCCGAGGAAGCTGTCACCAGCAGGAATGGAACCTGAGGGGGTTCTGCTCACAGCCAAGAAACCCTGGGGACCCCCATCCTGGGGAGGGGGCTGCCACACCCCAGCAGAGGCCAGCCCGAGGCTGGAGAGGTGTCCCTCCCCACGCAGGCTCGGGCCTCCCACAGGCAGGGCACAGGACCAGGAGCTCAGAGGATGGTGGGACATGGAGCAGCTCTGCGGGATGTTACGATGGTGGGTACGTGTTATTATGCACTTGTCCAAACCCATAGAAGGTGCTGCACCGAGAGTGAAGCCTCATATAAACCACAGGCCTGGGAGGTAACTTGTCAAGTGTCGATTCTGCTGGAACAACAGACCACTCTGGGGGAGGCTGTGTATGAGGGCTGGGGGGAGGTGGAACGTCTCTGTCCTTTCTGCTCAATTTTGCTGTGAACCTAAAACTGCTCTTAAAAATAGTCTATTAGAAGCACTACAGTGATATTTAGCTAGTAAAAAAAAAAGCACTCTAGGAGCTGGCATCTTATTTGCTACATCTGGGACCTGCCTGCCCCAGAGGCTCTTGCTGCTGGCCCTGCGCGCAGACCGGGCCTCGCCTACAAGCACCTGCTCAGCTTGTAGGTGCTACCTTACAGGCCTGGCCAGGCTCCAGGCTGCAATACAGGGTCACAGCACCAAATCTCGGTGGAAGCACCCTCTCTGCTGGGGTAACCATCTCGCCCTGGTCTTCCTTTGTGGTTTGTGACGATGTAACCCACGGCTGTCTGGTCCTCACTCAGGACCTCCATCAGGGCTCTGACTCCTCGGAGCGTCTCTCTCCTCGTTGGTAAAGTAGAGATAGCGACTCTCATCTCATTCACAGGTGGGTGAGGGGCTCAACACAGAGGAGGAAGGCAAAATCTCCAGTGTCAGTGCCTGGAGTTAGTAGCTCTCAGAGTGAATAGGGCCTAGAAATGGAGTGCTGGTCACAGCCAGACAGGAGGTCGGGTCCACAGAGGAGTAGATCTCCAGGGACCTGGCCAGTTCCTTTTTCCTTAGAGCCCTGATGCTGTGTAGCAAGTTCTCGAATGCCTGAAAATTTCCCATTAGTCATTCATTCCTTTATCTTTAATATGCCTATCATCCTATGTATAGTCATTTAAAACACAGTTAAGTTGGAAAAGGCAAAACTATAAGGACAGAAAAAAAATTAGTAGTTCCCAGCAGCTGAGATGGGAAATGTGAAAGGCAGTGGGGAACATTTTGGCATAATGGGATTGTTCTGTGTCTTGATTGTGGTAGTGGCTACATGACTGCACACACTTGTCAAAACTTGCAGAACTGTGTGTTAAAAAGGTGAAATTTACTACCTGTAAATTAAAATATTTACTTAGCATGCAGGAGGTCCTGGGATCAATTCCCAGTATCTTCATTAAAATAAATAGGTAAACCTAATTACCCTCCCCCAAAACAAAACAAAAATTAAAAAAAATTTTTTTAAATAAGTATGGATGAACAACAATAAAACCTCACAATTATGGAAATATTAAATCCATGGTGGTAGAAGCCAAAATAGTGGTTACTTCTGGGAGAGGGGGGTGGCATCGGCCTGGAAGACACACAAGAGAACCTTTTGGAATTCTGGAGGTGTCTGATCACCGGATCCAGGTGGTGGGTCTGTGTGTGTGTGTGTGTGTGTGTGTAAAAATTCATTGAGCTGAACCCTTCATATCAGTGTGGTTATGTTACACCACAATAGGAAAGTAAAAGGGACCATCATTTTCTCTGATAAGTAACTTTTAATTTAAAGTGTCTTCCCTAATCAGCCTTACCAGCTTTCCCTCCTGCTTGGGAGTGGCCCTAGCTCCCTTACCTGGGAGGAAAGAATCAAATCTGTCTCGATCCAGCTTCCTGGTAATACCACCTATTGGATATTAAATGGTGGTAGATTGGGGTGATATTCAGAATATTTAACAACTGGCACAGAGCAGCGTGTCAACCAGAAAACCACCGGCCCTGT